TTACAGTCAGGTGAGTAAATCAGTTTTAAATTGCTCTTTTTTTTTCCCTCACCAGGTAACACTCTTAAGCATTCAGGATGTTAACATTTTTCTGATTATCATGAAACTATTTTCTGTACCAACTGTCTCTAATTCAAGAGCAGCTTCCAAGCCATTCCAAGCAATTTTCTGACCTCTGCTAGAACATTTAGTAAATGTATTCTACAGCAGCACTTAGCTCAGCCAGACAAGATATTTACATCCCCAGCTCCAAGGTTTTACCACTCTCCAGAAAGGACACAGCAACTAAATCTTGTTGTGAGGAGGCAAAACTATCCCAGCCAAGGTTTTGCCTCTTTGTCTGGCTGATGTGTCTCCAGTAACAATTATTTAAAGCACCAATACTTCACTGTCAAGGGCTGTAATTCGCAGGTCTCTGTAAATAAATGAGTATCCTGGGGGGAGAGCTATGGCAGCTAATGGGGAAAGAGAAACTTGGAAGGGGCCTTTTCATCGCAGTATTTCTCTGACTTCAGTTCAGCAGGACAAAGAATCTACCTGAGGATTAGATTTACAGACTGTAGGGGAAAAAATCGCTGGCCAGAGGAGGAAAAAAAGAGGGGCGATAAAGTTGGAAATGGATAATAGTTTGATATACATTAAAACGGGAAAGAATAGATACAAGGTGCTCTATAGTTCTCTCTATGTAATATGGTGTCAAGCTTAAACCATTTATGTGTCTCAAAATTATTCAGAATAAAGTTCAAGATTTAAAATTATCATCACCAATTCAGAACCTATTCAGGACTTTTATTAAGCTTCAATTAGAAATAGTTCAGGCATTTTTGTCTGGTAGGCGTAAGCCCGTTACTCAAGTGAAGATGTCGGGAAGAGATTTTCTTTTTTTAAAAAATATTTATATTCTACATATAAATATTCTTTTTAATAGCAATAATTTTTTATAGAAAAGAATCTAATTCTTAAGGTCGTAGAATGGTTTGGGTTGGAAGGGACCATAGAGATGATTTAGTACTGTGGGTGACAGGTGAATGCCAGATGTCAGTGAAGAGTCAGGAATTTCCCCTTGCTGTGGAAGGAAAGTTATGATGTAGCAGAGAGAGAAGGTTTGGCTTCAAAACTGCAGGTGTCATCAAGTGCAGTTTTTTATTAGATCTGCCTGAACTCGGGATCTGGAATAACCTGGGAAGTGGATAATTCTTCTTTCTACCCTGGGGAGCTGGCTCGATTGCTGGAGCTCTCGCCAGTGATAGCACATGATTTTTAATGGCCACACCTCTTTAGCATTTGTTATTTTATGTCTCATCCAATAAAGGGTAGAAGAAGTGTTGTTCTGTTCCTGAAAAATACAACATGCATGGTAAGTGCTTCCAAAACTAATAAGTCTTTAGAAAAATAACCATGTTCTAGGGAATAGCAGGCTCAAGTTATTTATTAGTCTAATGTTAGCATAACAGGACCATTATTAATTTCATTAGTATTTCTTGTGCTGCTCAAATTATGAAACATATACCATCTTCTTCTGGGTTTTAGCAAGTTCCAAGGAAATGTAAGCAGTAAATTTTATCAGGGAATCGCAGAATGGTTTGGGTTGGAAGGGACCTTGAAGGTCATCTCATTCCAACCCTCTGCCAGAGGCAGGGACACCTTCCACTAGACCAGGTTGCTCCAAGCCTCATCCAGCCTGGCCTTGAACACTGCCAGGGAAAGTGTTCCTGCAGTTTATATTATTGCATAACTAAAAGTTTGGATTTAGACGTATTGAATTTACAGGTTTACTGTATTAACTTGCACCATGGAGTTTATTCTGGGGTAGTTTCCAGCATTTCCCATAGAATTATACTGGCATTCCTAATCCTTGAGAGAGCTTGAATTGGGACTGGCACACAGGATGTTAATGAAAGCATTCTTGATTTTTAAGATTTTTTTGTGTGTGTGTGTGAAAGAGCTGCTGCTGCAGAGTGTGGTTAGAGGCTCCTTGGTGTCCTCACAAGAGCAGCCTCCAAACCAGCCCACTGGCTGATTTAGAGCCTACGGAATTATTGCTGTCCCCAAACTGCAGCCAGCATCAGGAAACCACAAGAATCAAACAGACAATAGGGTTTGTTTGGTAAAAAAGATTTTTTCCTAACCCTGCAAGATGTCATTTGTTGTACATCAGGGATTAATGGGGAGGGAGGAGAATTCCACTGCTTTGAGGCCAGTCCCGAGGGAATGTCCGAGCATGTCTTTGGTCCTGTAAAGAACTCCTGAATTGCTTTAGGGAAGGCACACACAGCTTAGGGACCGGTCAGGACAGCTCCCAAAAGTGCTGAGGAAGTTCAGTGCAGCTCAAGTGTGACATGACTTCATCTCTTCAGCTTCTGACACGAGTTTTGCTTGTCCTGTGCTCATCCAGCACAGTGGTTAAAAGCTAACGTGATCTCTTTCCCAGTATTGTATATATTTCACAGCCTGCTGTAGGCTGTGTAACCCAAAACAGCTTGGAACTTTCCAAAACTTCCAGGATATCCTGGTAAAGCTTTCCATTACATGACATGATTTTGAATATTTCCCAAGCATTTTTCTGAAAACACTTTTTTTGAGTAAAATAGCAGTAAGCAGATATTTCTTCTGTCCTAAGGAAAAGAAAATAATTTTTCTAGAAGCAAATATAGCTCAGAAACTCTTGTCCCATTTCATACAGAATTAAAGGCAAATATTATTAGGCCAAAGTCCAACTAGAGTCTTAATGAACTATAGTTTTAGTACCATTCAAAACCTTAGAATACTAAAAAATAACGGTAAAACACTGAAAACAAACTTTGCAGAGTTGTAGAGGAAAAGTAATTGGCAGGACGTTCTCTCTGCCTATAAAAACCTAGAAAATTTAAGGGTACCAATAAAATCTTTAGAAAAAGAAAAGGGAAAAAGAAAAGGTTGGCCCAGGAGTCTGGTGTGGGACCAGCAGCTCTTGTCTGTGTACAAATTCTTTCAAAGAAACATTTGGAAAAGTTCTTTTCAGCATTTTTATTGTGTTTTTCTTCATCAGTTTCGTTGCCAGAATAATTTAATGTGGGCTGAATACTCGCTGTCTCTTATTCTCTCTAAGTTCTTTGACATGAGCATCTCATCTCAAAAAAAAAGGTGACTCTTCTCTGTTAGACAGTTCAGGCTTTCACTTTGGAGCAGAATGGCAGCACTGTGCTGTGATCCAGATGGATTTCAGAAGGACAAGAAACCAAGGCTGTGCATCCTGGGGACTCAGGAATCTGTTTATGGCTTTGCCATGGCAATCAGAGGTGCAAACTCTTCCCTGGTTTGCAGTGGTGATTAGTGAGGGTGGCAGGAGAGATCCTGACTTTGAGACATCCCGGGAGCCACAGATTGTAGTAAAACCACTGAAATGTCAGTGGTTCAAGCGGTTAGTGATTCATATGGCACCAAACCCAGGAATAATTGGGAATGTCTGTTGAGCAATGGTGTATTTTTTTTTAAGAGTAGAAGAGTTGCATTAGTAGAACAGATAATTGACCATCTGGCCTAATATTCCACTTCTGGATGCTTTAAAGCAAGGTGTTAATCTGCCTTTCCTCAATATCCTGTTAATTATCCAACACTGTAGCCATGGTGGGCTTGGAGCAGAGGGGATTTCTTCCTGATCCCAGCTGGTGAGCAGCTTATCCCTTGATGATATGGATTGATAGCCCCAATAATTCTTATATAAGCCAGCAGCAGTTTGGTACTTATTGCTTCTCATAATGGAAATTGCATTTATGTTTTACAGGCATCAACCAGACGAGGTGGAATCTTAAATATTCCAGCAGCTTTTGGAAATTTGCTGTCTGGTTTGTCTCGGTAGCTTCATTCACCCTCTTGTGAGTTTGGTTAAACCACAGCTGCACCGATCCTCTCATGTAATGGTAAGAGCCAAATCTTTTCATCCATAATGAATAAAGTCCTATTATGTCTAATAAGATTGACCCCAATTTTCCCCCCACACGACAGGCAATGTTCCATCTGTACAAATTTCAGTCCCCAGTATTCCTCCTCACTCCAAAAAGTCTCTGATTTTGTGGATAACATGAGCAGTCACCAGGAGCACGAGCACTCCTGTTATTTGCTGGCTCAATTCAAGGACACACAGAACTTGTGGTGGGGCTTTGTTGGTCTACAGAGACTCCAGGTGTTCTTCCATTGGTCTGGAAGAGTCACTGGTAGTTGGGATTAAATATTTTGGATTTCAAAGCTGAGATTTCTTCACAGAAGCCAGCTCTTGATCTCCCCTTCTAATTAACTAATGCTTTCCCTTCCTCCTGGTTTTTGGATTCCTTCCAGTCTAGTCCAAGCAGCAGCTGTGACCCAATGCATATCTTCATTAAGCTCATATTGTAAATCATTTGTGCTGTATCCCTGTTTGAATGCTGAAATGATGCTCTGGTCACAGTTGTCTGGTCCAGGTTATTAGGCAGTTTGTCTGGATAGGGAGTTTTCCAGTGCTGGAATGTGAATGGACAAACAGAACTCGCTTCTGTCTCGTTTGTGCTCAGTTGGCTGAAGCTTCTGGGCAGTTCCATCTGTATATTCTCAGCCAAAGTCAATGCCTTCCTTATCTCCCAGGGAATGTAGGGTTGGACAAGGCCCCATGCCTTTGGAATCTAGCATTGCCCTGACTTTGTAAGAGAAGAAACAGGATCAAAACGTTGTTTGTAGCATTGGCAGCACCCACTTCAGTCTTGCCTTAGGTCACCAAGATGAAAAGAGAGAAGTGTCGGTGACAACCATATCTTACATGTCATGGCATTTCACAGGCAGGTTCCAGCTGTCTGAAGGAGATCAAAGATGGAAGAGAGAAGCCTGGCTGCCTCCAACCTGGAAATTCAACGCAGTCCATCGATGTGGCTGCAGCATCCGTGGGCCTTCGGGGTAAAGTATTCACCTTTTTTTTTAAATTGATGTCATGGAATGAGAATGTCCGTACCAACAGTTATCATGTCTCACCTGCAGGCAAGAGCTTTTTGGGATGTCCTCATAAAGTTCCTTGTCCCTGTGCAGGAATTCCTTCAGACTTGTGTCTATGAACCTTAGATATCTGATTTATAAATAGTTACAAGCGGCCCTAATTTCAGTTCCTGGCAATGTTGACAAACTCCTGTGACAGGCGTTGGTTGGCTTTCCGATAGAAAACAGATACCATTTCTCACTCCTGGTTTTTATTTTCTTTAATTTGCAAACCCAGGGAACCTGATTCAACCTGTAGCAGGATGTCCATCAGGACCCAAGGCCCTTATTGTGTTCTTCTCTTTCCATGTTTTGTGGTGCAACCAGTGTTCAACAGGAACTGTAAATCCACTGTAAATTTGGACTGTGGCTCTGTGGAGATGCCTCTCACTCAAAATAGGGCCCAGTGCCATTTGTACCTAGTTTTTCAATCCTCTGCCTTCCCTTCTATCTTTCCAAACAAGATCCACATGGGAGGCCTCTAATTTTCTCTGTCAGACCTGGAGATGGGATCAAACCTCAATTGTTTGCCTTTGTCCAGCATGTGTTGCATTCACAGACCATGGAGAAGTCTCAGTCCCAGGGCCATGGGATCCATTGCCAGGTTTGGACTTGATGGACCAATTTTCATTTTCACTGCTATTATCGGAGTGGAAAACAATCCTTTTAGATGCCAAACCTGGCCCTCCCTCGGATTGCTACTGGGATTGGCAAGCGTGCCATGAATCTCATGTTTTGACTTAATTCCAGCGTTCCCCAGTGCCTCAGTTGTTTGGTAGACAAATATGTTCCATTTGAAATGAAATGCTGGCCACGGTTATGTGCATTTGTGTAGCAGGTTTAGCCCCAAAAGCTCCCACCTGCTATATTCCTGACTGTATATCTGGGATGGCATCCTCATGGGCACAGCAGGGATGATGTGACTGGTGATATTTCCCCTTGTACTGCCCACCCTCAGCAACCCCTTCTTTGGTGCAGTTGTTGGGACTGGAACCCAGCAGGAAAGTGGGACTGCACAGTGCTTTGGGAGAGGAAGCAGGAATCTTCTGGAAAAGCAGATGGGAGAGCGCAGGGGTGACCTCTCCCTCCCCTCTCTATTTGATAAGTGCAAGATGTTCTTTGGCAATTAAACGTGATGAAAAGCAGTGTTATCTCACCCTGGGTCAGCCATCTCCCCTCCCCTTCCATAGGATGTATGGCTGGTTTAAACACTGTTTAAAATAAAAATCCCTAAGCTTCCTGAACCTCCCCAGCTCCAGTCAAGTCCACAAGACCAGTCAACTGCAAGTTCAAGGTTTGTTGGGAATAGGACCTTTAGAGAGTGAAGGAATAAGACATTCTGTTAATACTAGGTACTGTGGGGCTGGTCTTTATTTCCTCCTGTTGATTTCTCTCAGATATACAGGAAAAATGCCTCTTATTTTATAAACAGTAATTTCCTTGTCAGCCTTCAGCTATGAAAAAAATGGAAGCTTCTTTCATGCAAATTACTTGTATATTTATTTGTATATTTACTTGTTATTTATGTATCTGTTCATCCTGAGACTGACATCAGCCTGAGGTAAAACATCAAAAGGTCTATAGCAAATGGTTCCTTTCTTCTCAGAATGACTCTCATCACTTAAACACCCCTGCTCTCAGCTGTACCATTTGCAAGGACTGGCAGGATACAAAGAAAAAGTGCCATTTGCTTTATGTGGAAACTTTGCTGCTCTTGGGATCAGCTGGAATGAAGCTGGAAAATGTGATACTGCTATTTTCCTAGCCCAGTGCACAGTGGGCCAGCCCAGGTGGCACCGTGCAGCCAAGCACAGTGCCCAGCCCCACACTCTGCCAGGTCGTGTGGAGCCTCATCCTGGCTGCTGGAATGGGAGGAAAACTGGGGCAGAGCCCATTCCTGCTCCGTGTGTGTGTCTGTGGCCTGTGCACTCACCCCAGTGCTTTTCCTTGGGATAAGTGATGGAGGTAGGACAGAGCTGGGAGCTGCTGAGGACTTGCAAAAATGCTTTACAATCACACATTAAGGGAGAAATGGAGTTTGTGTATACATTTTTACAAATACTTTGGTTTTCTGCTACATTAGAAATTCGGCATTATTCACCAAACCAATTAATAATTTGCCATAAAGCCCCAGAATGACATTTCTAGACTTTGCACCTTCATGTTCTTTACGCAGGACAAGGTGCCAGCAAAGGTGGGACCAGCATCTCCTTTCCTGATAGCCCAGGTCTTTGGGGGTTTTGCTGTGCCTGGGAGACATTTCTACACAGAATCCCTTGATTTGTATTTTATTTGGACTGGATTTTTATGAAAATGATGGCTGCCTGCAGTCTGGGTTTTCTCTGGCACTCTTCCCGTTGGTCTTGGAGAAGCAGGAGCTGGGCTGGCAGATCAGATATGGACAGAGTGTTGTCCACCCCTCACGAGTGTTCCCTCAGCCCCTCGTGGCTTTAGGATATTTGCAAAGATGCTCTGAAACGTCCTACAGTAAGTTTACAATTTTACCCTCCCTAAGAAATAGCTTTCCCTCGGTTTAGAACATATTCCCTTATGGATTCTCATTTGAGAAAGGTTTTAGCATTCAGAGAAATCGATAACCTTTCCTGCACGTGGGCATTGCTGCGGCAAATTTCATAGGAAATGAGATCCTTGGCAGAAGGTTGGGTGGGATGTTGTTCAAACCTGGCATGATCTGACTAATTGTTTGATTTGTCAAGGTTTTATAATTTCTACAGAGCCTTATTAAAGCCCATGAACAACATCTTGCTTTCATTCCTCACAGGTCTGTTCAAAAAGTCTGTGGTCCTTTCGTGCATTTCTACTAAGGATAAAATGAGCTGATCTATCTGCCCTTAACAGACAATTTACATTGATTTTAGCATTTAAAGGCAACACGAAGTGACAAAACCCAAATACAACAAAAAGCCTGGTATTTTGAAGTTTAATCAACACATTTTCAGATTTTTAGCCTATTTTTTTTTTCACATTTTATTCAGATCATCTACATTTTGCTATCGATGAGAAACCTGTTTTAATAAGAAGTTGTTTAAAAATAGGTTTATTAGATGGAGCAGGAATATCTAATGTCAGGTGAGTGAGGGCAGAGTTTGTATCCCATTATATTTACATGTTTTGGTGATGGGCAAACTTAAAATCGTGTGGATTGAGGCTGGTTTTGGACTCTGTTCCCTGCCATTTGGCTGCCTGAGCAGCACAATGTGGATTGAAATACCCAGGGATCTGTCCTAGGCAGAGCAGAACTGTGTTGCCTGGAGATTAAAACATACCCAGGAAACACAAGGTTTTTAGGTGACTTCATAAAAAATACACAGAGTAGGTTTTTCAAGTTGTTTTTTAAATGCATTCAACCCTCTGCATCCTCCCCAGCAATGACACTGGAACATTCCTTTAGCTATTACATGAGGCAGAATCTCTTTTCCAAAGTGTTGGAATGTGCAGTTAGTCCAGACATCTGATGGCTGGAAAAAAAATAGCAGGGGCACTGTGCAAATTTTATTATTTTTATTAAAATCAAAATGCTCTGGGTTTGTAGCCTCCAAAGCACTTGGACTCCCTGCGACGAGCAGATAATTTGTAATTAAGGAAAGATATTAATGCAGATTCCATTGGAATGAAAACACACAAATGTTTTGATGTAGATTGCAAGAAGAGTTCACAGCCCATATAAAATTCTTGTGAAATACTGAAGTAAAAACCCTTTCCCTGGTGCTCTTTGAGCGTGTCAGCCATCAAGAGGTTGATATAATATAAAATAATATGGTAACACAGTGAAACCCAGTTATTAAAATAGGATTAAGGACACTCTGCTTGAAGACTGAGGCATTCTGCTTTGGTTTTTTTTGGTCACTGGACAATTCCAGGATTTCAGGGTTAATTCCAAATGTCATATTTTGCCACTACTCATTGACGGTTGCAAATAGCTACGCTAAAAAAAAAGGAAAAAGAGAACAAAAGAGGTTTCAGATATCCCAGTCCATTCCAGGAAAGCCTGCCAAGTCTCCAGAAAACTGAACTTAGTGAGTGAGACTATTAAAATCACAACTTTTTACAGAATTTTCTTTTCGTTCCACTTTCATCCTCAGGTATTTAATAGCAAATGTTGCACGTAGGACGTTGTCCACTTTCCAGGCTTTATCTGTTGGTGTGACTGCAGCGATTCCACAGCGGATCCCACTGTCAAGGAACAGCAGTGCATCCCTTTGGAACTTCCTCCGGGCACTCGGGAATGTGCAGGCAACTAGGTGTGGGTGAGCACATCTCCACACCGGGGTAACTGTGGGCTCTCACAGGGCTGTTCCTCGTGGGAAGGCGACAGTAAATACTGTTGAGGGTTGCACATGGAGTGGGCCACACGTTGTTTTAATAGCGCCGAAACAAAGGGAACGAAACAGTTTGGGAAAACGTTGCTCTCGCTCTGACTGCTGGGGCTTCAATTAATGCTTTCCTTTTGTGGGAGAGGAGTGTGGGACAGGAAAGGAAACAGCCTCCTTAGGTACAGTAAATTTTACCCATTAGCAATTATCTCTGCAAGTTAAAGGTAAAGGAGTAGGCATTATTCCATCATAAATCCCAAAGCAGCAGTGTAAGAATAAAATGATTACCAAGTGGAGGGGGAGAGGGTGAGTGATCAGAGCATTGGACAGACACTCCAATTTCTTGGATTCTCTCCTTCCTCTCAGGACATCAGTTAGTCCAGGAGCTTCCCTTGCCTGTTGAGTGCCTCAGGTGAGGGGTGACTCACTTACAGCTCCGGGCAATCCTGAAAATGTGGAACTCGTTCCCCCTGGAGTTACGAAATGGGGACGGGCTCCTCTTTTTTACAGTGGAAAAGCGTGAAATCACAGCCACATTGGCTGGAGTTGTTACTCATTGAACACTTACACTTCCATGTTGTTTTACTGTTTGCTCCATCCCATTTTTATGGGCCCCAGCCTTATGGATTTTGCAGTTAACTGTTTGAAAGGAGGCAGAAGTGATTTGCCAGGAGTGGACCTTTCTCCCACTAATGCTGGGATGATGTTTGTTTTATAATGCATGTGGGCATAGTGGGAAATGTAAATGTGTTAAATTTTACTGTCTTAACTAAAAAGAAAATTAAAACTACCATATTCTGATGCTTGCCATTCTTTGCAATAAAAGCTCACATTTCTGTTCACTTCATTCACCCTGGTCTGTGCCTGCTATCTTCGACTTATTCATCACAAAAAGTTTCCTGAATCAGCTTTGCTCTACCTTAACTGGAAATTTTGTTTGATTTTGCAGAGGTTCTGCACAGTCAAGTTCTCCTCTGAGCAGCCCCTTTTCTCAAGGAAGCTCCAAGAAAGCAGGTGGGTGTGACAACATTGCTTTGGAGCTTGGAGAAACCTATTCTGATGGAGGGTTCTCTGTCCGTGGCACCGGCGTGAAACCAGGTGATCCTTACAGTCCCACTCCAAACCATTCTGGGATTCTGGGATTCTGTTTAAATGTTCCCTGTCCATTGCTCACCACCTTTCCCATATGCTTTGAAACCCAGCTGGTGTGTAACAAACTCCACACTGGGTGACAACTCTAATCTCAGTTCAGGATAATCCCGGGGTGCAAAAAATCCAGTGGAGACCATGAATGTCCTGAGACACTTCTAAATAAGTTATTCCAAGGGCAGGCAGTCAACCGATTGTCCAGTGGGAATGAAGGGAGGGAGCGGGAAGCTGGGCAGTTTTGATTTAAATGTCAGATTGTTTTGAAGCGCCGTGTGTGCAGTATGTAGGTCAGGGCTGAAGGGACAGACTGGATCTGCAGAGGTGCTGAGAATGATTAATTTCCCTGGGCAGAATTCCCCGGGTTTTTTTTCCCTGTGTGCTCAAGTCAAGCTGCACATTCTCATGGACGAGGGGCTCAGGTTTCGGACTGTCTGCCCAAAGGGGAAATTTATCCTGGCAGCTGCTGAAAGGGGAACTCTTGTGGATTGGCACCACTCTGTGCATTAAAAGAATGATTTTTTTTTTTTTGCTGCGTTTTGGGGAGCTTTTCAAGGATGGCTTGTTTACATTGCTGCTGTGTTCTCTGGCCATTAGCAGCGGCGGGAGGTGATATTGGGGTGCCACCGAAGGTGTGGATCAGGCCCCTCTAGCTGCCCTGAATAAACACTACCTGTGTTCCTGTGGAAAACTGTGCTAGAGAGGGACTGGTTCTGTGGGGATGGGCTGACTGTCCACTTGGTCCAAAGTATTTTCAGTCATTAGGCCTTTGTTTGACACCCAGCTTCAGTCTATACTGCCAAACGAGATGCTAATGGAGTAGCATTGTTTTAAACACAATAAAATCCAGCCTCAGGAAATACTTAGGGAAGACTTAAAATCTCACTAACGCTCCTTTATATGAGCATGAGCCCTTCTGTCCTGTGATCCCAAGCAGTCTGAACTTCTCTCTACAACAAAACATTTAAAAACTCGGCTGAGAGGAAGTTTTAGATGACAGTAGAACACAGTCTGGAGAAATGACCTGGTGTTCTGAAATACTAACTTGAAATATTCTCAACTACTGACTTTAATTACCAACTTATTGTTTACTTTTTTGGCACTTCGGTGTTCCCGTACACAGGAACAGATTTTTCAGACAGGTCCTGTGATTGCTGCACAGTCCATCTTCTCATGCTTTACACAGATCGTAGTGGTCCCGAAATTGCCCAGAGGAATGTGTCTCCAGGGCCTGGGTTTTGCTGGGATTGCCGGGATGCCTGAACACAGGCCCTGCCTTTGCTCCTGCTCACTCTTTCTATTGTCACAGAGTCCCTGAGAGATGAGAAGCAGGTGGAGGGATGCACAGGATGTGCATGATGCCCTGGATGTTCTGTGCTGCAAGGGTGGTTAAAAGATGGGTTTATAATTAAATAATGATCTCAGCCATATTTCCTAACACAATTTGGCAAGTTCCTCCAACACTTCTCCTGGTACGTACACACATAACCTGCGCGTATTTTGGGAGTAGAGCTCCATCATTGGAAAGGAGGCTTGCAAACAGTGCTGTTTACTGAATCAAATGTGTTTTCCTGGAATCCTGATGAATTGATTTCTTGCCTCTGCAGTTTTTTTCTGGAAGCTGCCCTATGGTAGAGTTGTGCCTTGTGGGTCAGAGATGAAAGGAGCTGGCCTGTAACCCTGTGAAACCGAAACCCTTTTTTTCCGAAGGTACAGTAAAATTTTAGCTCTTGTGTTGAAATGCAGTTTTACCTGCTCAGTAAAGCCTATTAATTCATATTTTTGCAGCAAAGAGACTACTTGGATTCTTTGTTGCTGGACACTTTTTGGTAGCTGCTGGGTTTTTGAGGAGTCTGAGTCAAAAATACTCTGTTTTAATTTTGACCTCTTTTTCATGGATCATGAAAAAAAACATGATCTGGCATTCTGTTTGTGCATAACTGTATAATTTCCAAATAATTTCTTCTGACCCCGTAGAGTCCTGTATATGGGACAGAAACTGTTAAAGATACTTAAAGAAGTTTGACATTGAGAACTGTCAGGTTTTTTCAGACCCACCTTTAAAAGTTTGTCACTCTGCTGACAGGTCTTGGGGTCTGACACATTTCCAGTATTTCTGGTGGGAAATGGCATCGCAGCATTAAGATAAATTCTTTAATCCCGAAGCAGAGCTTGGAAGCAAAGTGACAGGGAAATATACTGGGAAATGGCTGAGTTTTATATGTTTTTGTCACCGCTCAAATCACACCCAAATGCAAGTGCTTTCTGATTTTCAAGCAGAAATTTCAAAAGCCTGCAATATGCTTTTAAAATTCCAGATTTCAGCTGAAACTCAAACTATTAAACCAGTGTAAAAGAATCTGTGCTGGACAGATTTCCAGCCAGCTTGAAACAAAACCAATACTGGAATTTTTGAAAAATCTGATCTTGCAAAACTGCTCTGTGTGTTTCCAGGCCATTAAAGTCTGGACAATCTAAGATAAGCAACTAAACTCCATGGATTTCTTGCAGCTAAATCTGGCTTGCAGGGAGTCACACTACAGACAAACCTCCCATCTTAGAGGCTTGTAGAGACAAAAAATCCACAAACCCCAAAGTTGTTTAAAAGCACTTCATCTGGTTTGAAATAATTGGCTTTTTTCAATTAAGAATTTCCCTTTTTTTCCCCCCATCTTTTGGATGGAGGAATTTTGTTGTTCTTAGTTGTATTTGTACATGAATTTAACAGCTATAAATTAAGACTTTTTTTTTTTTCTAAAACCACAAAACATATTGAACTTTATTATTTTCAGAAATACCAGAATTTCTGGAACTATATTCAGAAATACAAAACTGGTTCATTTTTTCTGGGATTTGAGTCTCCTCCTACCAAATTAAAAGGGAAAGAATTCTCCCAGAAAGTACAGACATGTCCATTTTCCAGGCAGACCTGTAATCACTTTAATCACTTCAGGCTTTGAGTGCAGGTTATCAGGGAGGAAATGACTTTTTCTCAGCAGTGACTGACATTCCCAGAAAATGTCCAGATTTTTTTCCATGTTTAGGAGAAGAGGCTGAAAGGCAACATTGTGATAATCTTCTCTGATTTGCTGTTCCGTTAAAAGAGGTAAAAGTGGTCCTGGATCTCACAATTTGGGAGATGGAAGTCTTCTGAGAACAGGATGCAATGTGCCAGCTGCTTTCTTATGGAATTGTCAGGAGAAGCAGAAGGGAGGCTCTTCTTTTATTGTGTTAGGTGGTTGGCTGAAGTTGGGTCTTCTTATTAGTTGGGTGGGTTTTTAATTCATCCAGGTTTTTCCTTCATCTCCTTCTATAACAACCTGGAAAGGGGTAGCAGTATGGAGGCAAATCTGAGGAAAAACTGGTTTGATTTTGAACTTTTCCAGTCTCCCGTAGTCTCTCCATACAGACACTTAAACATTTTACAGTTGCACTTGCCCATCTTTTGGGGTTTGAATGGGAACGTTCAGCATATCCTCTGAATGAACACCATGAGCTGGAAAGGTCCCAGATTCAGGGAGGTGAGTGCTTCTGCAGGTGTGCTAGGTTTTATTGTCTGCCAGCAGCCAAACAGCAAATCAAACCAGTTTAAATCTGACTCTTCTCTTGCTTTGAGATCAGAAGCCATTCCCTGAAATGCTTGAAGAGCTGCATCCAGACAAATCAGGGAGCTTTGGGCAGTGCTGCTGCTTGGAGAATCCCTGGGAACCCCCACCTGGCAGAGCTCGCCCCACTCTCTGAGCACCTTGTTTGCTTGAGTCTTTCTGAAGTTCACAGTCACAGGAACAAAGAAAAACAGCAGTTTATCATGCCCACGTCAATTAAGGAATGGAGGAATTAACAGGGTCTGATATTTCTGCTAATTTTGACAACATATATCAGAACTTTGAGAGTTCAATTCCGACTCTAAATTTGATTACCCATTTTTCCCACTTCTTTCCACAAAGGAATACAGAGCATCCTGATTTCATCTGAACTGGCTTGTTGTAAATTAAATTCTCCTTCTACGGGGAATCCACATCCTAAGTTCCCCTGTGTGAAATGAATTTTTCTTAGGAAACAAAGCATGTTTTTTTTTAATTCTTGCCCCCTCGGTACGTGATCAGATGGTCTTCAGGACTGCAGCAAAGGTATGTGAGCACAGTGGGCTACCTCTGAGGCAAGGCATGCCAGGGTTAGGATGGAGTGGCAGACACAGATTCAGAAATGTGCTGGTGAACACAGGGAACCCTGCACATAATGAGGCTATTAAGTCCAACAGATATTAAGTATTTATTTTGCATTTTTTGCTTTAAAAGGAGAAAAAAAAGTCAGCATGAAAGCAATGTCATACTGAATGATGGATCTTGTAGTCCTCAAAAGAGTAACCACTTCAGTTTAGCCAGAAAAAAGTAAATATTTCCTCCTAAGGACTGGATTCTTGAGATACTCATCAGCGTGTGCAAGAATATTACATCACTGTCCTCTGGGAATATCCATTTCCATCTTTTTCTGCCCCATTCTGTAAAAAACTCTGTGAGAATGAATCAGTTCCCTGAATGAAATCTCATTTTCTCTGACCTTTTCCACTACATACCCAGAACAGAATTAAGCAGAACAGAGGAAATGAAGTTATACTTTTATATTTTAAAAATTATTAAAGGCTTCTGCATCTGGGGGTGTTTATTCCCAGTCTGGAGAGCGGTGCTGGATTTTGGAGGACTATGTCCCAGGTTTCCATATGTGTGGCAGTTGGATGGCAGACAGGAAGGGGCTTTATGTTTTGGTACCTTCAATGACAGGTTTGTCCTTGTCCTTGGAAAGCCCAAGGCCTTGATGGCAGAGATTCCTGTTGGATCCTGTTGTATGTTCTTCTGGAGCTGCTCAGCATCCCTAGCCAAAGTTTGGCTTGGAATAATCTCACTGAACTCATTCCCCTGTTGATCCCAGGGATGTTAGTGATGCCAAGGGTGTGTTTCCAGTGCTGTTTATCCCTTTTAGTTGGAATGTTCATTTTCAAAAGGAAATCTGTCCAGAATCTGTTGAAAGGAAATACGATGTGGTCAGGAATGGTCATTCCTTCCTACAGCTTCCAATCCACTGTTCCCCCTGATGGATTTATACCTGGTAGAGGCCATGGAAAGCAAAGCAGTGAGGTTTCACCTGCTGTAGGTGCTCAGAAGGAAGTGCTGCTGGGTTTGCTTAAAGCCAGGCTGCTTCAAGTCATAGAATGCTAAAGTGATTTGGGACAGGAGGGACCTTAAAGCCCCTCTTGTTCCAAGGCCTTGCCCTGGGTGGGGACACCTTCCACTAGACCAGGTTGCTCCAAGTCAAAAATAAAGAGCTTCTAGCATGGGTTTCCTTGGGGAATTGAGGACCTCCATAATCCACATGGAACTGGTAGCACTGCCATAGTGTTTCACTCATTTTCTGCACTGCTGGCACAAAATCTCACTTTATAAAGAGCAGATGTTTTTGCTATTAAGACGCCCTTTTTTCACCATGTTTAGCATTCAGATGTTCCTGTGGTTGGAGTCAGATAATGGCTCTTTTTTTGTTGGGTTTTGTTTTGGGTTTTTTTTCAAGTCTTTAAGAACTGGCCTTTAACCAAACCTCACTGCAAGAAATGTCTCTGTACTGGATGAAGAGAGGAGTAAGTCAGGCTCTTTGTCTGCTTTGGGAAGTATTATTGGAATATGATAGTAAGTTGTTCCTGGTGACTTCTGAATGTAGGTAGGCTGGGGATGTGGTTGGTCTGAGCCTGAGCAGGACCACAGCTCTGCCAGGATTATAGAGAAAACCTCTGTTTTCTCCTCTTCCATTCCTAAAGTTCCCTCTGCATCAAAAGGGAACTGTTATTTACAGGGGTTCAAACAGAAACTACTAAGGCCCACGCCTTCTCCTGTAGTACTCTGGATTTTGGCAACATGACGTGCCATTCCTGATATTACTGCAGAGATCCAGCAAATCCCAAAACCTGGCTGAAGGATGCGTGGCCAGTCTTTAATCCACTTTATAGACACTCCACAAGAAAGTGTATCCACGTTGCCCCGGACATTCCAGCTGCTCCATGGAAAATGTAATTCTAAAGCTTATGGCAGATTTTAAGCTATTTTTATATTCGTTACAGATATTTTATCAAGCTATAATTTAGGAACTGCCTCTGGATTAAATTTATTCAGTGAGAAATCATGCTGGAAATTGCTGGTGAACAAGATTTCTCACAGCTCCTGGTTTTGGCAGCCTTGGAAGCATAACAGGAGTAGCCTTTCTGGTTTCCTACATTCCTTCGGGCTTCCAAGGGGCTTTCTGTCATTTTGGTTTGGCTTTTCAGGAGAACATGAACTCTGGTCTTAATTCATTTGAACTTGGTGTACATCCTCAGAGTGGGTTCTGTTGGAGAGACCTTGGAGAATTTCGATTCAGTGAGACCTCTTTTATCTCTCTTTTTAAGTTCATACAGGAATAGTGCTGAATAAGGCTAAATTCAGTGTTTATGGAGCAGGCTCCAAAGGTCCCTCTGAACTTGCATTATTTCTAGAGCTGTAAGGTACAAGCTATTCTCTGCAGGTCGTGGGGGGGGGATGTAGGTGTGAGCAGAGGCCAGGGCAGAGCAGCAGTACAAAAAAGAAGGCAGAGTCTATCTCAAAACCAGAGAGCAGCAGCCTATGGAAGCTGTTCTGGCCTGAAGCAAGAGGATAAACCTGTAAAGCCCAAGAAAACTAGGCACTGTTTCCTTAGGAAAGTTTGTTTAACTGATAGACTTAATTTGCCAATGGTTATCTTTAAATTAGAATTACAATCCTTTGCCTGATTGCTTCAAGATGTACTGCTTTTTTTTTTTCCTGAAAGGACTCTTAAATCCCAGGAGAATCCAGTTAAACATCTGTTCTGGCTACACAAGGCATGGTAATGGGTGGCTTCAGTGATACTGTGATTAGAGGTGGCTCCTCGATTAACTCCTGGTCCACCTGGGGACATCTTTTAGTGGAAGCAGGTAGGTGCATCCAGTAAGTGAAATAAATGTGTCCATGATGTGCTGAAATGGGAGTCAGGGCTTGTTTTCCCAGCAAATTTTATCACTCATCAAAGTCTCGATTTGAAAAGCTTGGAATGCACATACAGGTATTGAACTTTTCATAAGGGTCACATTAAGTGGGCAAACATTGTCTTGAGGCAAAGCATAGGAAAGATACAGCATAAAAGCAAATATAAATATTTTATGTATATTATTTGTTTGATTTATTATCTACATATTATGGGGGTTTATATATTTCTATACAATTTATATATAGTATCTATATAATTATCTAACTTCTTTCATGTGCAATCTTGTGAAATCACCACAGATTAAAGTCATGGTGTGGTGTAACTGCAATGAATCATGTGCATCCAGTGAACATTATTTTAAATAACTACCTTTTTTTTATTCCCAAATCCTCAGTCATTATCTAATCCTACTCTATCAAAGGTGCCAGCCTGTTTGCCACAAGTCTGAGTGACAGTTGTTGTAAATTTGTTTGACCTTGTGTATTCTTCCTTACACCTTTTACAAGAAGGTTCTGACCGTTTTGTTAAGTGCATGGTCCTGCTGATGTGTAAAATGCCAGCCTGGCATTATTTAGCAGGCTGAGCTCTTGTTGGAATTCAGTGGAAAAATAGGATTCTGAGTCCTGGACAATTATGGATGAGAGCTGGATGTAGCAGCTCCCCTCTGGGCAGGCAGGTCAGGTCTCAACCCCCTCAGTTCCTGTGGCTCAATCCACAGATAGATCTGAATGTCTGTCACTTTTCTGGTTTGCTAGAGGAATGGGTGCAGCTCTGGGGATTCCAGGGAAGTACCAGATTATCTCTGCTAATGCCAGTGGCCAGTTTATAGAATAAAGAAAGAAAAATAATGCTGCAATCTTACTTGATTGTGCTGATGGGCTGGTGGTTGTGATGATGGGATGGTGACAAAGGAGTTGGTGAGTCTGTGACTTCCCTTTCTGTTGGAGATGCCATTTAGGATTGAGTTTGGGAAAGGAGGGAATTCTTAACTAGTGGCTGCATCCTCTGTGTGGGGAAGCTGAGCTGGGTGATGAAACACCGAGTTCCTATTCCCTGATCATTAAATACACACGAGGAGCTGGGACAGATGGGCCACATTCCATGTTTTCAGAGCATATTTCAGAATTAATTGTGCTGACAATGTTTTAGAAAGAGCAGCTCCAGACTCTTTTCTCTTTGGCAACAGTGGCTTCTGGCTGCTGTCAGGCAGAGGAACATGTTTCTCTGGGTTTATTATTTTGGGTTTGGCTCACATGCTCACTGTACAGATGACTGGGGGCACAGGGGAGCATTACCTACGTTCATTAACCAGCCTTCAGATACTTGCAGCAGTCAACAGCTTTTTACCTGAGCCCCTGTGGGTTTGGGAGAGGGAATAGCACTGGGCTAGATAAGGAGAGGTGGGAGGGAAGCCTGGAATAGGATCCAGGCTGTGTTGTTGTTTGTGGCCAGTAGAGATGGCTGTCAGGGATCCAGAGGGCTGAGGTCTGGTCTGCGGAGGATTCCAGTGTGGTTTAGTCTAGACTAAACATTTTTGGATGCACTGAGTCTATCACTCTTGCTCAGGCTCCCCTGCCAGGGACTAATTGGAGCTGATGATTGCCTGCCCATGAGACTTGAGAATTCCATTTGGAAGGTGCCTTTTTTTTTTTTTTGTTCTTTTCCTTGTTTCAAAAGCATTTTACAGGTTTTGGCAAGAGGCTATTTTTGGCTCTAAAATGACAAAAAGTATTTTCAGCACAGATTTAGGCATAACTGTTAATATTCTCCAGATTCCTTCATTTAAAAATTATGCCAATTACAAACAAACAAAAATCCACCCCTCTCTCCAATTTAGCTAGCCAAATTTACTTTCTGTTCCTTTCTTTTCAGCCTATAAAAGCTCTTTCCTTCAGGCCTTGAAATGCAGAATGCATTCCTTCATCCTGGTTTTGATGGAGGTCCATTATATGTTTCTCATACAAAATTTGCATGTTGTGCTAGGATTTCCAAAGCATTCCTCCTCAGCCTCCTGTTTCTGTAGTTGAAGTCAGTGGGATCAGTGGTAGGCTGATTCTGGGCACCTGGGAAATCTCATTCTTGCTCAGACAGTTTGGTTTTTGTTCATTCATATCTTATAAAACACTTTACCTGAATGGGCCTTGAATGCTTTTTACTTCATTCTGAGTTTTCAACATATGTTACTTGACAGTGAGAACAAAAGGAAGGTGATATATATAGCGTAATATAATTAATTTTAGGAGTTTCTTTCCAATCTTATGAGGAGTTTTGAAGCATCTCCTCACCCCATGTCCAACCTTAAGGAAGAAACCTTAAGGGCAGACATTTTAATGGTGGCCAATGAAACAAAGAGTTTTTTGGAGAAGAGATATCAAAAGCCAATAATTATTAAAATTAAGAGGTTTTTTTTATAAACTCTTTTGTGTTTGTTTCCATAATGCTAATTCAGAAACAAAGGGATTTTGTAAAAGCCATGAAGTCCTTAGTAATGCAGTTTTACTCCGTGTACATTTCCATATTCTTTTAAAATCAAAACCAGATCTAGAAGTAGCAGCAAGGGATCTGCAGAACTGGTGAAAAACAGAAACTTTGCAAAGGAAGGCGACTCTATCACATAAAGGTCTTCAGGCTGCTGCCTCAGGAGATGGTGTTTATAAGCATAAGTAGAGATTGGAATCAGCATAAGGCTGTGATTGGGATGAGATAAAAAGCTACTACTTCTCAAAAATCCACTTGAAGTGGGTCAGAGTTTGAGGGCCTGGAGTTAAAAGATCCAGTAACCACCCTTGCATATGTTACTGTAAGAATCAGATAAGTATTGTCTTCTCTGTGTGTGGTGAAGGTAATTTCAGTATTTCTCTGGAAGTCCTAGCTCAGCTGTCTGGCTGGATGGGAAGAAATGCAGACTCCCAGAAAAGTTCTCCTCACTTACTCATGGTTTTATAATTTCTATGGTAAAGCCTGTTTTGTGGTGAGTCAGGCAGTTCTGGCTCCTGTTTTGTGGGATAAAACTCCTGACATGCTGTATTCCTCCTGTCCCAGTAGCAGCCCTAGAAATCCTGAGATCTTCCAAGCTCATTCCAGCTCTCAGCAGAGATTTCTGCAGAATCTTTGGAGCAGCCTGGCTCTTGCAAAGAAATCTTCTCCTGGAGGGTCATATTCCTGCTTTACCCCTGCCTTGTCTGTGCCCTCTCATTCCTTGGAAGGACTTCTGAGGAAGTGGCAGCTGACTGACCCTAACAGGATCATAGGAACTGGACTCATTGACATTCCTCCTATAGATGAGGGAAATAGCTGACTGTAGGTGCACACAGAGAACAAATGAGCTGCAGTGAGAAATGCTCATTCCAGTTCTAGACTGTCACGGTCAGTCCAGGTGAAAGTCAAGGTAAAAGGCTTTTGTAATTAATTTTTTTTTTTTCAGAGTCCAAGGCTGGTCTTTAAATAAAGCATTTGCACTCACTTGTAGGAGCTTAAGCCAGTTGTGTGCCCTCTAATTACATCAGCCCAGGAATGGGGGTGTGGGAACAGCACCAAGTACTACAGGAGCTGCCAAGAGTGATTTCTTCCAAGCATCCATGCGGAATGTCAGCCTGTGCTGAAGTCAGGGTGTATTTTAGCAGTAATGCTTTCACTCTCTGCCGTGGGGTTAGTTCAGTCATGGCCTTGTCACTGGCAAAGTGGAAAATGCTGGAGGAATGCCACGTTAAAATACATAATGGGAAATATTGGGCTCTTACATTGTTGTAAAAATGAGGACATGAAAGACCTAAAACAAGGGCACAATGACCCATTTCATCTCAAATAGTAGAAACCATGAGACAAATAATATATATTAGCATCACTCCATTAAATCAATGAATTTGTCTTGATTTAGACCAGCTTATTGTCACAGCACATTTCTTATACTAAGGCAAACTGTACTTAGGAGAAGTGCAAAGGATTTTCTCTTAAAGAAACCTGGGATTTAAAAGAAGCAATAAAAAGTATAAGAGGCCTTGTCACATAGTTTGAATTTACCTGGCTGGTAGCCAGCAGCCCGAGGTTTGATTTGTATCCCAGCAGGTCACTGCAGACCAGAGCATTTGTGCTAAAATGTGCTTAACTTTGTTAAAAGGCAGCACAGACAGACAGAGTGTGATCAGTTATCACTTTTAAGAGAATTCCCCTAAGTTGTCAAGAAAACTGCTGCATGCATCCATGTGGCCTATTTTGCTATTTCTCCTAATATATTTTTTTGTTTTTACTGTAATTAAATGCATTACCTAGTCTTAATTCTTTCCAAATGGCAAAAAGAGGGCATTTTGCATCATCATAATAAAAGCTGAGATGCATTGTAACGGAATTAGTCCATTTATTAGAAAAAGGGTTTAAAAATCAATCAATATAATTATTTTAACTAAGTCCATAAAGGATAAACAGTGTTCCTTGGCTCAGGTGATGCAGGTGGTGAACAATCTTACAAACCTATAACAAGCTTTATCTCTTACCTCAGAATAAGTCCGTGAGTAATCTCTCTCTCTTTTTTTTTTTTTAAATGCTCAGCACATTAGTTGTTTATTGTTACTTCTTGGTTTATCTCTGTCTTTAGAGTTAGAATTCCTTCAGTTTTGCCCAGGTTTCCACAGGAGCAGGATTAAACCTGCTAAAAGCCAGCAGTGGCATGAAAAAGAGTGCCAGGCAGGCATTAGCCTCTTGGGAAGAGGAATTCCAGTAAGGAGCACTACCTCTCAGAGTGTCCTAAAGCCTTCCTTGAAATTGGAAAGTTGTAATTTTAAACTGCTGCAGCTGATGAAGATCTTGGCACTGTCTCAGATGATCAGCTCCCCACAGGCTCTTCTTCATCCTTCTGGCTGTGACTTGATTAAATGGATGGATTCTAAAGGGAAACCTCAGCAAACCACCTTTTGAGCTGTATTTATAGCATGGTGTTTTTCCAGAAACCAACTGGTGATAATTAATAGATAGCAGCAGCAGTGTGCTTCCTCTTCACAGAGCAATAACTCCTCTCAGAAGCAGCCCAAATTTCAGGCTGATGACAGTATTATTGTGTGGCAAATGGAGGTGTCCTGTCGGTTCTGTTCCACCTCTCAGACTGGGAGGGAAATCATTTAGTGCTCACAGCAATCAGGAGTCATTAACATATTAATAGAGAGATAATATTTGCCTGTCTCTATCCCTGGCTGAGCTCTGATGCTCAGCCCACCCAGGCTCTGGTGATTGCTGCAGCCAAAGTCAAAATTCAGTGCCAAAGCATGGCCAAGGGGTGTAAGAGTGACAAAATGAGTCAGAAAATCAAAAAACCAGTGAAACCTGAAGAGGCTACTGCTGTTCTGTTTTCCTGTGCTGCAGGATTCAGACACTGAGGGAGAGGAGTGAAGGAAAGGATAAAGCTCCAGTTTACCTGCCTAGTGTGGGAAGGATAAATGAACGGGATGCAAGTGATTAGATATAAAGTGATCAGTGCTCCCTTTTTGATTCTTTCATCCTCTCACAGGTGCCGAGAACAAAGACATACCTGAGAGAGTGCAGGGGGCTTTGAACAGATGCTGACTAAACATCTGTGGGATGTTGGGGAGCTGACCTCAGCATGGTGTAATGAAAGGAAACGCTGAGGCTGGGGTTTCTCAGGGAATGTTTGGGTGGTTGCTGACCATGTCTGCACCACTGCCATGTGGGGGACAGTTCACTCTCCTCTGAAGGGAATGTCTCAGTGACCGGTGCGGTGTCTGGATGAAGGGTGGGTGCTGCCTTTGCTCCATTTCACCAGCAGCCAACACTAGCAGAGGACGAGGAAAATCAGTTCTGTGAGTCAGCTTGGCCAGTTCTGAGTTAGTGTTGATCAGGGATACAAATCGTTGAATAAAAGTGATTTTGTGTTAATAATGGGATGGGAGTTAATGTGTGGGATATGTGAGGCTTTTAGGAGAGCCATAGGGATATGTTCCCTTGGGACAGAAGTCCCTTTCCATGTTGCAGAATACTTATGTCACATGTGGGACAGTAAGAGCATGTTAATCTTCAGCCCTTTCCATCCTCAGTCCTTGCAAAGGGAGACAACTCTTGGCATCACTCTGGGCTCTGTGCAGAGGGACTGTCCTGTGTCCTTCCCCAGCAGAAAACATCCATTTTGTGCTTTGTACCTTTCTTGGGGGGAGAATAAATTTTGGGACTGTCATTGATTCCTTTTGTTCTGATTTGATTGGGGGGGAATAGGACAGGGAAGGGTGACTTTTCTTTGAGATGACTAACCTAAGAAAAACAAACATTGCTGGCACCAGAAAGGAGAGGAAATCAATAACTGTCTGCTGTAAAGGAAGAGGCAGGAGCAGCACAGCTGCCTCAGCAGCTCTGCCCCACCTCAGCCTCCAGTGCAATGTGCATTGATTGGGCTGTCTGCTTTGGAACACTCCTTTGGCAATGCTTACGTGGTAAAACGGAGCTCAGTGGACGTGGAGGAGCTCAATGGATTTGAAAAAAATTCAGAACTTACTGAAGTTTGCTGGATTGAGGCCATGAGATGGATCTGTCAGTGTGTGTCAGGTTTGAATTTTGCACTCAGTGGTTCGTTTACACTGGATAAATGGCAGCTAAACACAACCTAATCTTTCCAAGAGCGAACCTTCTCCAGTTTAATGAGAGTGAGAAAGTCTACCCTTACCATTCCTAGTCCAACCTTCCAGAAGTTTGATATTGCCCTGTGTATACCCTGAGAGAAGGATCCCGTATTTCAGAGTCTTCATCATGGTACAGGAGCACCTAAGTTGGTTCTGCCACCTCTGTTTTCTTTTGGTGTGAAGTTGCTGAGATAATATCTGTGTTTAAGGGAAATGAAGTCAGAGTTCAGAAAATCCCAGCCCTAGGGGCTGTTCAGACATTTGAATATATTCACTTTTACATCATTTCAGTAGGAGAACTTTTGGAAATACCAGCTGTCTCTCTCTCAGTTTTCTTATTCTATGGACTCTCCATTTTGCATTTAGGTCCTCACCTTCCAAGGAAGTATCTCAGCCTTTTTCCTATTTCACTCTCTGCTTTGTTATTTCTGTTTCCCCTGCCATTCTCTGCTTATACTCTCTTCCTGGGGAAGTAGGAAGATTCAGGTGTTCATACCAGAAGAATTATTAGTGCTGTAGTTTCAACTCTGTAATTTGCAGCTTTCCCTTGCTTTCCTTGAGCTGATGGAACCTTCTGTGTGGGAGCAGTTGCACGGATTTTCTGCATAGGTCACAGGGTAAGCAATTATTCTTAATACCTCCAGAGTAAAATCCACAGTTGTATCATTGCAGCACAGCTCCCTGCCATTCCAGTAGGAACATCCAGCTGAAACGGATGGTGCTTTGCCAGGATGGAAAAGGAATCTTCCTTAGGACAACACTTCTCCTTTTCTTCATCTGAAGCTGTGCCCTTTGTATTAGTACCGTTTTTTCAGCTTGTTGTTCTAACTCATTTTTTCTGAAGATCAGAAAGGTTTCTGCGTGGAGCGTTTATTTAAAATATTTTAATATATAAGGCATACGGATCCAACTTGAGCCTCATTAAAAGATGTTTGCCAAAATTGGAAAGCCTTCGGAGGCCTATTAGAGTGAATTATCCTAATTAGAAGCATGAATTCTGTCTAACAGCTCAAACTGCTTCAGTGGATCTGGATTTTTTCCCAAAACCTGCCAAAATTTAAGGACCAATGTCTGTGTGGCTTCCCTGTGCCTTGTAGCCAGGACAGAGAGCAGCCAAGTGCTGTCTCTGCCAGCTCTATATTCAGAGTATCATTGAAACAAAATGCTTAAGTAGCAGCAGAAACTGCTTTGGCTTTGCTGAGCACGTGTAAGATGTTTTTAGATAAGACTTCTCATTATTGTTGTGTACAGAAAGGACCTACTTTTCTCCCTGTAATAATTTTATACAGATGAGCAGTGGGAATTAAACCCCATTTCTAGTCTCTGCTGTGAGCCACTCAGGAGCGTGAAACACATGGAAATGAAGGTCCAAAGCACTCAGATTTGTCATTTTGAATGTAGTGTCCCCACTGTTCCTGGCCCAAGGTTTCGGGTAAATGTTCCCAAAGAAGAAGTCACTTTGTGTAAACTATCTCTACTTTGTCTGCTCTAATTATAAAAGCATCAAGGGGTGTTTCCATCCCCATAAAATTCCCTGGCCTTACACTGCCAGATGTGGCCATAAGTCACACAGCTGTAAATCAGGCCAGTCCCTTTCTTCCTCTTGCTGAAACCTGCCGTTCTCAGCTGCTCTTTGCTTTTGCTTCCCCCTCAGAATTAGAAGGTATTGTCACAATATGAACCGTAAACTTAATCTCCGGTTCTTACTCAGCTTTTCTGAGGCTGATAAGCAGTTGGAAATGGTGATGTGTTACTGGCAGTGCTCGTTTGGGGTTGGAACTGCCTGGAATGGTGCCCTGGAACCCATTCCCGAGGCGGGAACCCTGGCCCCGGCCATATGTGTAAGTCTTCTGGCACCTCCTCCCTCGCAAAATGAGGAAGGTTTTTGCCTCTCTGGTTTATGCTGTTTTACGTACTGCACATGCTGATGGCATCCAGCTGGTGAGTTACTGTGATCCCGAGACCTATAAAGAGCTGGATATAAAAGCTGGAAAGGTAACTAATCCTTTTGAAACCAGGCACCCACTTCCAAGTTCAAGCGACTTTCCATGTAGGATTGCTGGATAGAGCAATTTTTCAATTCCAGATTTGACATGGAAACCCCATTTCTTATTCTCTAAATTAGTTTTACTTCTTGATTAGCTCATTCTGTGCAGAATGTCCTTCTTTCTTGCTGCCTCTTTTTGTGTTTTCTCCTGGGTAGCAATTTGCAAAGGGCTCATCTTAGAACTCATTTTCACTTCTGAGTTGCTGGACTCTTCAGGGAACACCCACCTCCTCCAAAGGCGTAAGTCAGTGCAGGTTCTCTTGAATTCCACCCATGCCAGCTAGAATATTTGGATACTCGCTCCTTCCTGAAGAAAACAATACTGGCAGCTACTTTAAACTTTTTATGTATTAGCTAGAAGTTGTGTTTGAATCTGGGATCACGTAGGAGACCTTTTTTGTAGGATACTCCCTTAGTTACATTTCTTTTGCCATATAATTTTTGCTAATAAACAATATTATTTCTGCCCAGTAGCTATGCTATAGTAAATTATTACTGATTTTTCCCCTGGGACTGACATTTCCAGCAAAATGTGTCTGTTGCATTTTCTGTAAATGCTGTTTTACAGGGAAGTTATTTATTTATGAAACCATAAGGAGTTGATGGAGGGGTTTCTTCAATTCTATCTCATGCGGGAAATGCTGTCCTGAAAAATGGTGTCTCTGGAAGGGATGGAATCAAGTGATGTACAAGGAGGAGCAAAGGTGCAGATAAATGTAATAATGTCTTTAGATGGCTGTTTGAGTGCGGCAGCTGCCAAGTAGGTTAAATAGCAGCATTTTGCAATGCAAAAGCTGCTTGAAGCTGATAATTATCGTGCCTTTGAGAAAGCAAAGTCCTCTCATTATAAATACGTAATGAACTATGAATCTCCATCTCAGGCACAACTATCTGAGATGAAATCTTTTTCCAATTTGCATTGTTCAAATAATTATATCTGGCCGGGGTCAGGGTTTGGATAATGCATTCCCAGCCCCTGGGTTTATTCGCTGGCTCCAGGACCAGCCCACAATGTCAAACAGCCCGGAGAGGTTTCGCATTGTCTCTGTTTTGGCTGTTCTCAGCCGTGCTGCTCCTTCCTGCTGCAGTCTGAGCCGTGCCGCCGTCGGAGAAGTGCTTCTCCAGGCTGCGCCTTGCCTTGTTTCCTGAAGCTTTGCTTTCCAAACAGAACATCCGCTTAAAATGCAGAGGCTCCGTTTAAGCTGCATTCCTGGGAGTGATCCTCTTCCCAGTTCCAAGCGGTAACCACAGTTAAAGCAGTACCAGAGAGCTGGTGTGTGCAGCGAGGCTCAGCTCCGACAGCAACATCTGGAGTTGTTAGGATGAGCTGGAGGCTTTGGGAGCAGCATTGGCTGTCTGTTTTGGTCGGCCTGTGTACATGCTTTATCCTGTGCCTTGTGATGGGGTGGTCGGGAGAGCAGGGTGGGATGATAAGGAAGCTAAAGTATGGGGAGGGAGTAAAAAGGGACTTTGCAAATGCAAATCCGTGTCATTCCCAGCACCCCAAGGTGCCCGAGGCAGTCCCCTCATTGTTAAGTCAAATGTGCTGCATGGAATGCCGGGTGGTTTCAGTTCGTGTGAGCCATTCAGAGGATGGAAAGCATGGAAATGAAGGTCCAAAGCAGTCGGAATTGTCATTTTGATTGTAGTCTCCCCACTGTTCCTGGCCTGAGGTTTGAGGTAAATGTTCCCAAATAACAGTGGCTTTGTGTAAACTATCTCTACATTGCCTGCTTTAATTCTAAAAGCATCAAGGGGTGTTTCCTGCCCCATTAAAAAAAAAGTTCCATTTGAAGGCCTCTTCCTCAAAGAAGTAGGTGGAAGTTTTAAAAGAAATTTCCTCCAGTCGTTTCAGTTGAGAAGAGGCTGTTTTCCTACACAGTTGTGCAGTGACAGCCCCCATGGCGCTGTTCCCCTTATCCCTGCTGGCAGTCGGAGCTCTAACATCACAAGGATGGGCCAGCAGTTCCTTCACTCTGACTTTCCACGGGTATTAAATCCCTCAGGGAATTGGAGTGACCTCCTCAGGGTCGCTTTTCTTTAGGTGCTGTGATGCTGCATAAATGTGAGCTGTCACCAGGTGCTGCTTGTACTGGTGACACCTCAGTTCTTCCCAGACCTGCACTGCCAATCCATTGTCTGTAGCTGCAGACAAATGAGCTGCCTCTGTGTTCCTGGAACTCAGAGTGACCTGGATGGCATTTGCTTTTATTCAGCAGCCTGTGCACATGAACTCCCAGTGAGTGTTCTCTTAAAAAAAAAAAAGGGAACAGCAACTGGCAAACTGCCCGGCACGGGAGGACACTTAAATCCTGTCCACCTTTAATTCCATTTTCTTTTCATGTCTTTTACCTTTAAATTCTGCAGGCTTGTGTTTTCATCCAGCACCTTGCACAGCAGAGGCACCGTCTGGGCTTGCAGCTTTCACCTCAGTGCTGATTTTGAGGATGGAGAATCACCTCTTACCTTTCTCAGGTGAGGTTAAATGTCACTTCAAGTATATTTGAGATGTTAAAGTAGATTTCTGATGAAGATGAGTTGATTTTCTCTCTTGTGCTATATGTGCTGGAGCTTTTATGTGTCTGGAAGCGAGCATGTTTCCTCTTCCTAGAACACAGAATTCACAGATTACATCACTGAGTGACATTTTTTAAAGCTGATTTTTGTGTTCAACAGTTTGTTTCTTTTCTCTGTAGCTCAAGGAAAGGACATGAAATGAGCCAAGAGCATTGTGTGAGTCAAGAGGTGCAGAAGTGCTGCCAAGCAGTGGCTCCCACCGTGTTGGGAATGGTGAATTCCAAGGAAATGGCTCTGTGGTGCAGCTGGCAGCAGCAGCAGCAGCAAGGTCACCCACAGAAAGGAGCCAGGCAGCAGGTAAGAGTCTCAGTGTCTCACTGGTCCATCCAGACACTTTGTGGTTTCCCACCCTGTGGTGTGGGGAGCACATCAGCAGGTCACCCTTGGAACACTCTGGATGCTGAGCAAAGTAGGAAGAAGGTGAGAGTGAGGAGCAGGGAGGGAGGGAGTTATTGATTTGGGACTGCAGCAGTGAGAAGGGAGCCAGCCCTCTGACTGCAAGGTTTTTGCCTCGTTCACAGAAATAAGTAACCTGAGGTACAAGATTCTTAACACTTCAGCAAGATATTTCTTTGTCCTCTGTTGGCTTCTTCCAGTTCTAGGCAGCTATGCCTATCTAATTCCAAACTGATTCCAGCCAGTCTGCTGCTGTGCTGGCACTGTTCCAGCCTACCTGTGGCTGTGTGTGCCCTGTTAACTGAGTGCCTGCACAGCCCCAACGTGCCGAAGCAGCTGCATCACCTCCCCATTTGAAATTAGGTACTCGAAATAATCTTTACTTGGTGAGAAATAAAGAATATTGCCTAATAAAGGTAGCTCTAACTTTCTGGATATTTTTTTTTTAACACAGTACCAGCCCAATATCTTTCTGTGTTTATTTAAATGGGAAAAGTTTAATCTTCAAAAAGCAGGGCCTACTGAGACTCCCTCAGTCACAACCATTGGTTACTTCGCAAAAAACAGTGTTTTCAGCTCAGACTTTTCATGTCACAGTCTTGGCATCAAATATCTTGTAGTAAATCTAATTTCATAGCTTGGACTGCATCCAACAATGGGATTATACCTTGAGTATCCTATTTGAAAAGGCAGAGCATATTGTGCTGAGTACAGGTGCAGAAACAGCAAGCCAGCTTTGCTCTGAAGTGATGAAAACCAATTTCCTGGGAAGGGAGCTGTATATTTTCTCAGAACTTTAGGCAGCAGAATATTAAAATGTGTCACTTCTGGACATGCAGGTTTAGATTTCATTTTGTTTCAGTTCCTTCTTGCTAGATTGCAATCCTAAATTAGGATTTAATTCCAAGAAAAGATTTTATACCAGTATCGAAACTGAAAAAAAATATCCAAGCCTGGATTTTTTGAAGCTTCAATATTATTAGGAAACTCCTAGTTCAGGATTTAAAATCAGTAAGACTCTGATGGGTATTTTTTCCATTTTTTTGCTCCTAGGCTAATTCCTAGGAAAATTTAAAATCTTTTAAAATGGTTAAGAGTCAAATCATTAATTTTTCTCATTTCCTGCTTTTACACTTTGAATTCAAATGATATGTACACGTATCCCCTGGCAAAGCACTCAGGAAGCTAAAAAAATAAGAGCACTTACATGGGATTATAGATGTTTCCTGTTCTTCACGTGCTTAAGTGTTTTACTGTAGCACAGGGCTTCATAGACCCCTAAGGAAAAGTTCTGACAAGTAGTTTAGGGGTAATCTGGTTTCTCTGTATCACACTGAGTACTTTTGGCATTTAATCCAGAATTAATTTTCAACAGGTACCTGTGCAGTCAAAAGCAAATCTTTCTGTTTTTCATTTACGAACTGTTTCTGTGCATATGATGGCATTGCTTCAGTAAAGTATAAATACCTAAATTATATCATGGAAGAAGTAATTCCTGTATTTCCTTCATCTGTTTTGAAGGACTTTTCTCCCTTTGAGGCTGATGTTGCAGCTTGTCTTTAAAGCCACTTGGACTCCTTCACCTTACTGCTTACATTGCAGATTTAGCAGGAACAGTCTCCTTGACAAGGAGACTGTCTTGGAGATCTCCACCATTTGCCAAATTTTGTTAAAATTGGACAGTAAAACCCAAACATATTAAGGAAGCACATATGTACACACAGTCATAAAAGAAGTCTTCTTTATAGAGTAAAATAGCGAAAAAATACAATTATTTGCACTTTTCCATCATGTAGCTTCAACTTAATCCATTTTCAAGATGTCTTAGTGGCCTGTATGTTGACTTCTAATAAATGGTAGCAGTCACAAAGATGAAGAACTTGAAAATGTAGCCTGTACTGACAGTTCATCACTGCCTTGATTCTTAGATAAATCTGCAAAGTGAGAGGGTGAGACCAAAGATCTTTTCCCACTAAATTTAGACTTCAGTGTTGACAATGGTGTATGGGAATGCCTGTAATGGGAGAAAAGGCCTCCCCGATGGAAAATAATGTACCTTGGGTTGTGTCCTCACTGGCAGGAAAGGTGTTTACTTTAAAGAGATGCTTTTAAATAAGAAGTGAAAGGTTGCTCAGCTTATCAGCCAGACTGAGAAGGCCAAGGGTCCTTTGATAAGGAGTTTCATACCAGCAGGAGGGTTTCCAGAGTTGTTAGCTTGGGCTCTGTCTTTTTTAACTGTCCAAAAAGTTTTCTTTCCTACCATACTTCTTCTTTTCACTTGGTGCCTCTTCCTTTTGTTTCTTCTTGTTGCAACAATATCCTTTATTGATCTGTATTTTAGGCTGAAATCCTGTCATCCCTTTGGTGAGGTCAGGTACTCACCTGGTGGCATTCCAGTGTTTTCTAAGGAACTACACCAGTTGGTGCTAGCTGGGGATGTCTCCTTCTTCTGTATCACTGTATAAAAAACAGGAGTGCTTTGGTGTAGGTAGAGTGGGATTAATGTCAATAACTATGTTGATATTTGGCAAAGGAATCCTGAGCAAGTGTTGTGCTGCTGACTCACACGAGGTGGGCAGTCCCAGCCCAGGCCAGCACAGATGGAGCACATCAGTGAAAGCTTGGATGAAAAGAAGACACGGATGAAGGGCTGGGAATGGTATTACGGGATAAATGAAAATGGGAATAAAGCATTGCCGTGCTGTCAGCACTCAGGAGCCAT